CGCGGGCACTGACCTGGCTCGCCGAGCGGTCGCGCCGCGCAGCCTGCACAGCCCGGCGGGTGCAGAGCGAGGCGCGGGCTGCAGCGCTGGGGCGGGGGCCGGCACGCACGTACCTCGGGGCGGTGTGTCACGAGCAGATCCACCCGCTGCAAGTTGGAGGAGAGCAGAAGAAAGTTTCCCCGCCCAGCGCTCGCCTCCGGCAGCGGCTGCGCCTCGGCGCAACTACGCCATCCGGGCTGGCCCGGACTTTCACCTCCTGCCCGGAGCTCCCGGAATCGCGCAGGGAAAGTGGCCCGGCGCTGGAGCCGCGGACTGGCCTGCCTCACTCCTCGGGAAGAGGAAAGTATCTCTCCGCGTCCCCGAAACCCTCGATTCCCCCCATCGGGCCGACCCGGCGCTCCGGCTCCCTCTTACACGCGCGGGCGGGGCCGGGCAGGGCGCCACAGCAATCAGCGTGCGGGGGGAAGGGCGCTCTTCGCCGCGCCCCCACCGGGGGCTCGGGCTGAGCAGAAACTCCTCCTCCGCCTCCTGCCTCTTCTCTCCTCCCCTTTACCTCCCCGGCTGATGGATGAGCCCTGAGAGCTGCTCTAGCTTGTGTTGTCCTTGGGCGGAAAAGACAGCACAGGAAAGCAGGAGCTTGGGGCGCCCAGGTTGGGGTGGCAATCGGGAGCCTCTGTCAGGGAGCAGTGAGGAGGACACGCGGAGCGAAACTCAAGGAGGAGTTTCTCCAACTGGGTACCTCCGACTTCCCAGGACTCTCTGCAGTGGGGTTACAGTTTGGTTCCTCGATATCTTGAGTGTAGAAATTCTAAAACTTGACATAAGATGATCGTCCCCTCTTGCCCACTCTCCAGCACGGTCGCCACGCACACATTCGTTCTGCCCCTGTTTGGTTTTTTCTCAACCGCCAATCCTGCTTTTTAACTCAAGACTTGCCCTGATGGTGGGCACCAGGGGAGATGCATCTTCCTTTCTTTAACAACTGGGAGTGCATTACCCAGAAGTTTGCCCTGATAGCTCACTAAATTAATATAAGTAATGGAGCTAGGTCAGTGTTATTGGCACGACCCTAGGTAAGCATGATGTGAATGACAGACGCACAGAGCAAGAGCCTGAGTGTGTGTGCCTGGAAGCTGCACCCTGCGGGAGCTGAACACAGTGCTGATGAGGACACTCACAGACAGGTGAAATGACCATCAGCAAGCTGAGGTTTCAGAGATGAGACCTCCACTAGAGGTGTGGCAGCCCAGACCTCTGCCCCTGGAGTAACTACGAGGCCTTGCACAAATGCCTTAAACTCTTCAAATACCTTTTTACCTCTGTAAAAATGAGTGGTTTGGCCTAGGAAGCTTCTCCCAAGAGTACTGTGTGGTTTTTGGAAAGCCAAATGGGAAGGCTTTTTACATTATGAATTAAATTACCACTTGGAAATTTTTCAGAGTTACCTGTGTTGAGAGAAGAGGAAATATTTCTCAGCTCTTTCTTTTGTATGTGTGTGGTCAAAATATAAGGTAAATATATATATATATATATATATATATATATATATATTACAGTAAGAGACAAACTGCCACATTGCCATTAATACGGCTCAAAATTCACTTTATGTTTGTGGGAGTTTTTGTCTTTTGTTTTTTGTTTTTTGAGACAAGGTATGCTATGGCGTTCAGGCTGGCCTTGAACTCACTATGTAACCTAGGTTGGCCTGGAACTCACAGTGATCCTCCTGTCTCCCAAGTACTGGATTACAGTACCGGCATGCACCACTATGCCTGGCCAAATCTCACTTTCAGCTCACTTATCCTATGGTTCTTGTCACTTTCTGAAGCAGTTCCAGAAGTCCTTTTTCATGTCTAGACCAGAGATGATAAAAAAATACAGTGAACACTGCTGCCAAGTGTCATTCTAGGGAAGGGCAAGCTCCTAAAAATATTGTGGTGTGTCCTCCTCTACTTTATTCATTGGTTGTGGCACTAAGAAACTTGTGGCTCTCCCCTAAAGTCAAGATAGTCCTCAAAGGTAAATGTTTTCAGTTGACTCGGGACATCAAACCAGCCATCACATCATACCCAAAGACAATTAATAATAAAAATGTATTTTAATCATTTATTTATTTAGTATAGGGTCTTGCTATGCAGCTTGGACTCACAGTGATCCTCCTGTCTCAACCTCCCCAGAACTGGGATTATAGGCATGCACTACCATGCCCAGTTTTAGTGGCTCAGCACACCTGGGGGCATTGGGTACCAGGGATCCAACCCACATCTTTGCACTTGCAAGCAGGCACTTAGACTGCTGAGCTATCTCCCCACCCAGCCCCAATATTATTCCTTCCTTAAGTATTTGATGGAATTTATGGGTGATTCTGTTTAGGACTGGAAATTTTTTAAGAAAGACTAGTTATGAATTTAATGACTTTCATTGAAATATGGATATCCAGAAGTATTTCTTTTTATTAATGTCTTCCAAGCAATTTTTTGTTTTCCAAGCAAATTTTTCCATCTCTTTTTTTCTCCAATCTATTACTTTTATTTTTTGTAATTTTTATAAGTATATTTTTGTCATCCATAGTGCCCACATTCATCATAGGTATTTTGCACCTGTACATAACATTTCTTTTTTTATCTGTTTAGTACAGGGTCTCACTACACAGATCAGACTCATAGTGATCCTTCCTGTTTTTCAGCCTCCCAAGTGCTGGGATTACAGCTTTGTGCCACCACTCCCAGTCTCAGTTGCAGGGGTGGGGCCGGCACAGCAGGCCGGGGATTGAACTACAGCTGCTGCACCCTAAGTAAGCAGGCACTTTAGTATGCTGAGCTATTTGGCCAGCCCTGTGCATAATATTTCAATTCTTCTTTATTTCCCATTCCCCTCCCCTCTCTTTTACAGACTGTGTAGCAATTTTTCCATTTCATCCAAGTATTTTTCTGTCATACCTTGTACCTATACAATAATTTGGAGATTCAGTTCATAAAGATCAGATTGACCAAACGACAATGCTACAAAAACCATTTGTACATTAACAGAATTTACTGAATACTGTGTGAGAGATTTGAGCTAAGCAGGTATTATAGGCAAATTATGCCTTTAGGCATAAAACTCCAAAGAAGCAAAATGTTAAGCATTAGAGTTACCTTAGGCTTTTGTATAGTCTCAGGCTTTATTTATTTATTTATTTTAATTTATTTGTGTGTGTATGTGTGTGTGTGTGTGTGTGTGTGGCCAGCTCAGCCCACCAGGGGGCGGGGCTGGCTGGCATGTGGTGCTGGGGGATTGAACCGCGGTCCCTGTGCTTTGCTAAGCTTGTTCTAAGTAGGTGCTTTAGACCACTGAGCCATCTCACCAGCCCTCTAAAGGTTTTAAAGATTTTTAAATTATACATAGTTATACATAGAAAATACAAAATTGCTTGGAAGACATTAATAAAAAAATACTTCTGGATATTCATATTTCAATGAAAGTAAATTCATAATTGGAAGTCTTTCTAAAAAAATTTTCCAGTCCTAAACAGAATCACCCATAAATTCTGTCAAATATTTAAGGAAGAAATAATATTGGGGCTGGGGAGATAGCTTGGCAATGTAAAATTGTGTATGATTTACAAATTACATAGACTCAAATTACTATTCATGCCTCAGGTTATCCAGTGAGTCTCAAGTGCAGACATGGACACTTGAGCTAGGTGTGAAAATTTAATCCCATATTTAAATGTATTGATCATGTTGAGGTTTTCTAAATAAAATGGCATGGTAAAAGATAGGAAAACCAAATCCCAGTTATGAATGTCTTATCTTTAAAGCATAAACTATTCTCCAGGAAGCTGTATTCACAATAGTAACCATCATTTATTGAACAAATGTACTAAGTAAAAGATAGATGATAGATAGAAGATAGATAGATAGATAGGCAGACAGACAGACAGACAGACAGACAGACAGACAGACAGCTTTTAAGTCCTGGATACTAACTGAGGCTTTCTAACTTGCCAAAGTAATACAGTTAGCAAGTGGGAAGACCCAAATTCAAACTCCTTTCACCTATCTTGAGACCCAACTTGTCAGCCACCAGGGTCTGCTACACTAAAGCTTTATGTATTGGCAGAATTAGACTTGGTAAAAAGAAGTCAAGGGCATTTAATTAATTTCAGTAAATGAAATAAAAAACCTAAGGTATATTGTTATTTACAAAACTAACAATGTCTTTAGAGTTTTTTGTTGTCATTATTGTTCTTTTGTTTTTCTTGGCAGTTTTAATGGATTTTTATAGAGAGAGATTCTCTCCTTTTCTTAGTTTCTTACAGTCTAGAACTATGGTTACCATGAGATACCAACTTCAATCAGGTGCAAGCTGGCATCCTGATTATTTTTTCTGATTAGTTATTTTATTTTTTTTTTTAATTTTAAGCAGAGGGATGAAATAGAGACATACTTTATCTTACATACAAAATACTTGACAGCAGAGAGTCTCTCTGACAGTGGCTGTGGCTCTCTCCTAGGTGTAGGCCCGCTCTTTTACAGTGACTGACATTCAGCAGCAGTGTCCAGATTCCGTCGGTTAGCAGACAGCTGCGCAGATGCATAATAACTTGTCTGTCACTAGTGCCGTACACACACTGGGTCCACGCTGGCTCCTTATAGAAGACAATGCCTGTTTTCTGGAAGCCCATATCATCAGAAAAAGCATTTGACTGTTGTTCCTTTTTAAAAGTCCTAATACAGCCTTCAACACATGCTTCATACTTTATAAGTCTTAACTAATTAAATCTTGAAACAGCTCCTAGCCTTATTTTATATATTAGAAAATGATGCACAAAACAATTAGGTAACTTGCCTAAGATCACACAAGCAGAAAGTGGCAAAGCCAGCAAGCCCAGCAGGTGTCAGCCTGACTCCGAGGTCTGTGTCCGCATCTCCACTTTGTGCTGCCGGTAGAGTGAGCCCCTTTCTGCTCTTGTAGCTCAACTCTTTCAAATTTCAGGAGACCAAGACAAAAGTTTGGGATAAAGAGTATTCTACCAACACATAAAAGTAGATTCCTTTCACCCAGTGAAGGAAACTCACAAAAAGTTTGCCTAACACAGCCAATGTCTTGGAGGCGATTGCACAACTGCTGTTAAGAATGTGTGACAGAATGTAAACCAAATGTTGTTCCAAAATTGTTGCGACAGGGAAGCCAGTCTACACACTACAGCATGTGCTCTCATTTTCTGCTCAGTTGATCTATGATTACAGATAGATTTGCAACTTGTATTTCTAAAATTCCTAAAAATTCCAATTCATCCTTCCAGAGGTTCTATATATAATCATAACCTAAGGCTGTAACTTAAAACCATATTTTCTATATCTGCACGTGAAATTAGAATTTGATTTTCACTGAAAAAAATTACAGTTGGCAAATTACAAATTAATGAGGGCAAAAGAGCTATCAGATGAACTTGT